CTAAAATATTTTTCCCAGGCATGGACCAAGGTTTTCCTGTATAATGGAAATTGTTCTTAAATTAATGGTTTTTATTATTATACAATAGTATGGTGACAACACTCGATAATCCATGAAAAAAAATTAAATTATACATGGTCAAATTTAGGCGTTATTAGGGTTATTTTTGTTGCTTGGTTTATTTGTATGCTCTAAAGGTGGATTTAGCCAGCATTTAATTCAATATAAGGTAAAGTTGGCCAACTTATGTTACATGAACATAAATCTGCGCTTGCGCGGCGTTATGCCAACCTTGTTTACAAAAAAATTTGCCATCGAACATTTATAAAGGTTAGTTATTTTGTTTTGTGCTTAAAAGTTAAAATAAGTATCAAGGTTAGTTATATTGTTTTGTTCTCAAAATCTTTGTTTTATGCTTAAAAGTAAAGATAATTATCATTCAGTCAACCACAGTCTTATATATAATCTTATGAATAATCCTACGGACGCGTTTAGCCAGCATATAATGTAACGTAATGTAAGGTAAAGTTGGCCAACTATTAACTAAGAATTTAAGAAAATTATGTTACATGAAAATAAATCTGCGCTTGCGCGAGGTAATGCCAACCTTGTTTACAAGAACAAAATTTGCCATCAAATATTTATAAAGGTTAGAGTATTTTTAATTTATTTATATGTATATATATATATGTATAATATACATTGTATATGTATATTAGGGTGGGCCGAAAATCCGCTTTTTTAGAATTTCGTTTAGTAATAGCAAAAATTTTGTTCATTATGTTGTAAAAAAATTTTGTGTAAAAGATTAAAATTTTCGATCAACATCCTAGGCTCGCCCAACGCAATTAAAGATCAGAATTATTAAATTATTTACTGTCGAAAATGCCACTTTTTGAAAAAAAAATCGCAATTATCTTGATAGTTATCAATCGCTAAAAATCATACCAAGAGATGTTTTTGTAGGAAATATAATTTTCCAAACAACCAAGAGTTTCTGAATAGTTTTTTATCGATAAACATTATAATGTTAAATATATTCAAATGGCTAAAAATTACAATTTTGATACTAAAATCGGGTTTATTTCTGAAACTATCCATCTGACGTAATTTTGTGTAAGGACCTTTTTTGTAGAGCATAAAATTTCCAATCGAAATTTATTTATAACTTATAAGTTAATAAATTTATTTATAACTTATAAGTTAATAAAAAATGTTTGTGAACATTTTGATCTTTAATTGCGTTGGGCGAGCCTAGGAGGTTGATCGAAAATTTTAATTTTTTACACAAAATGTTTTTACAACATAATGAACAAAATTTTTGCTATTACTAAACGAAATTCTAAAAAAGCGGATTTTCGGCCCACCCTAATGTATATATACAGGGTGTCCTGAAATTAGTGCACCATACTTTAACAGCAGATTCTACGTGCAAAAATAAGAAAAAAAGTCCCTATAAACATAGATCAAGAAATGCCCCAAAAGGAAAGCCCCTGAAGATGGTTTTTATTTAATATCTCCAAAACTGTTCAAGATAGAAAAGTGAAATTTTGGAAATTAATTAAACTTTTTATGACCAATATAGCAAGAGGGTAAGTAAACCATTTTCTTACAAAAATCCATTTCTACTTAAATCATGTAGCTAGGTATTGTCAAACTATTACTGCTTCTAAAAGGAATAATAATTATTGTACATTTAATGTAATTTTTAGCTAATAAAAAATGAGATTCTAAAAAAGTGAGGTTAGGCCGCTTTAATGTTGAATTAAATTGACCTATATAAAGTGCTTTGAAGATAAAATGTTGTATGCCATTCGGCCAAGAAGTGTCTTTTTGTGCTTCGCTCAATTGTAGGCCTCCGCTACGCGTCGGCCCTCAAACTTTGAGCTCAGCACAAAAAGCCTTACTTCTTAACCTAATGACATAAATAACTATTAGGTTGGGATTGACTAGTTGCCATGGTAACTAAATAATCCAGTCGAGGTCAAGTTAAATCAAAAAATTAATTTTTTCTACTCCTATTACGGAATTTGACCCTTCTAATATCACTTTTATCTATAGAATGACATATATTCCGTAAAGTGTTACAGAATGAAATATTCTACCATCTGATGACAGAATAAACACTCGTGGCGACATCTCTGTTTTTAATATCTAACAAATTTTAGACCGATCCAACCTCACTTTCTTCCAATTAAATTATTTTTCTATGGTATTTTTTGGAAACGTAGAAAAAGTATAGTCTGAAACACGTTTGGAATTGCATATTCCGCTCTCGTGAAACCGTCAAACTCTCGTGTGACAAACTCTTCACTCGAGCGGAATATGCTGCATTCCAAACTTGTTACAGAATATACTATTAATTAACACAATTTGGTGTGGAATTTTCTTACCGAATACCACACGAGGTCAAATTAAATCCGGAAATTTTTTGACCTCTAGTGGTATTACTAGTGACAATTTTCGGGACATCCATGTATCCATGGTAGTAATAACCATATATCCATGGTAGCAATAAAACGTAATTTTTTATTAAAACATTTTTAAATAAATTTTTAATTATAAAACTTTAATAAAAATGCCTAAAATATTTTTCCCAGGCATGGACCAAGGTTTTCCTGTATAATGGAAATTGTTCTTAAATTAATGGTTTTTATTATTATACAATAGTATGGTGACAACACTCGATAATCCATGAAAAAAAATTAAATTATACATGGTCAAATTTAGGCGTTATTAGGGTTATTTTTGTTGCTTGGTTTATTTGTATGCTCTAAAGGTGGATTTAGCCAGCATTTAATTCAATATAAGGTAAAGTTGGCCAACTTATGTTACATGAACATAAATCTGCGCTTGCGCGGCGTTATGCCAACCTTGTTTACAAAAAAATTTGCCATCGAACATTTATAAAGGTTAGTTATTTTGTTTTGTGCTTAAAAGTTAAAATAAGTATCAAGGTTAGTTATATTGTTTTGTTCTCAAAATCTTTGTTTTATGCTTAAAAGTAAAGATAATTATCATTCAGTCAACCACAGTCTTATATATAATCTTATGAATAATCCTACGGACGCGTTTAGCCAGCATATAATGTAACGTAATGTAAGGTAAAGTTGGCCAACTATTAACTAAGAATTTGAGAAAATTATGTTACATGAAAATAAATCTGCGCTTGCGCGAGGTAATGCCAACCTTGTTTACAAGAACAAAATTTGCCATCAAATATTTATAAAGGTTAGAGTATTTTTAATTTATTTATATGTATATATATATATGTATAATATACATTGTATATGTATATATACAGGGTGTCCTGAAATTAGTGCACCATACTTTAACAGCAGATTCTACGTGCAAAAATAAGAAAAAAAGTCCCTATAAACATAGATCAAGAAATGCCCCAAAAGGAAAGCCCCTGAAGATGGTTTTTATTTAATATCTCCAAAACTGTTCAAGATAGAAAAGTGAAATTTTGGAAATTAATTAAACTTTTTATGACCAATAAGACGTAACAATAACAATTTAAAAAAATTCATGAGGTTTGGGTCAGATTGATAGGAAGTGGGGCTAAAACCACCTTATTTTTTTTGTACATATCTTGTACCAGAATTTGATGTCAGATTATCAAATTTAGGAGTTTTGCACATAAAAAAGGTCATCTTGTTGAACTTTGATAACAATGTTATCATATCATACACAGTTTTCGCTTAAAATCGATTCGAAAATTATTTTATCTGGCATAAAAATTCACAATTAAATCACAACCATGGAAATGGACTCGCGTGGTCCTTGGAATGCGGCTGCAATGTTTAGGAAAAAATAGAATAACAAGACAGGTGACAGTTTCATGTAGTAAGTGACAGGGTGTTTCTACTTTTTTATAAATATTAGATAAAAACCATATTCAGGGGCTCCCTTTTCGGGAGGTATTTCTCGACCTATATTTATAGAGACTTTTTTTCTTTTTTTGCACGTAGAATCTGCAGTTAAAGTATGGTGCACTAATTTCGGAACACCCTGTATATACCGTACCTTCATTTGCAAGCTAACCATAGGGAAAATACATTGTAACTGGACCAGATAAGTCGCAATCAACACAAAGCGAGAACCATTTCAGAAATGATTTGGATGCGTCGTCGAGACATGCCTACTAAAACAAATTTTACCAGATTTACACCGCACAAAATAAAAACAATAATAAAGCATCGATGTATGAAGCAAGGTCAACCGTTACGGCGCATGCTAGCGTACTCGTCCACGCGTCCAAATCATTTCTACAACGTTTTTCGCTTCGTGCTGACTAAGACTTCCCTGCTTAAAATACCCCATAGAGACCTATACAAAATAATCTATCGGGCGCTACCGGATTCAATATGTGCATTTGTCCATGGTTTTTTCCGGATACGGCCCGAGAGAAAATGTATAGGAAATTACCTATAGGCACACCATTACTTTTACATTTTCCCTATTGAGACCGATAGAAAATAACTCAATGAAGGATATATAGGGATATCCCTATAGAGCAACCATAAAACATTTGACATAATTTTATTAAAACCTATGGGGTCCTATGGGGAAAAAACTAATTTCTACTTTTATGTGTATTTTCCCCATTGAAACCAATAGCAAATAAATCAAGGGTGGATATCCCTATAGAACAACCATAAATCCCAACTATGGATCCTATACATACCGATACACCCTATAGAAACACCATACATTCTGATACAAATATCTATTGGTTTGAACAGGGTCTCTATGGGGTATTTTAAGCAGGGTTATCTGGTCCAGTTACAATGTATTTTCCCTATGGTTAGCTTGCAAATGAAGGTATGGTATATATATATATATATATATATATATATTTATACATCTATGTTATGTGTTTTTACAAGTGACTATTCCTACATTAATAGTAATTAATTAAAGATACATTATTATTATTATTATTATTAACAAACCCTTGATCATGTCTTATTTAAAACACTTTAAACTTGTCTTACCTTGGAAGGACTCCTGTTAAAGTAGTAGTGATTGAAGCCGCTTTCGCGACTTCTTCCTGCGTTCGGACTCTCGAACGGCTTCACAAACACGTTTCCGACCACCTGCACCTTCGACGTGAAAACGTTTCTCTTGACTGCCGGCAGAGGGCTCATGTGAATGTTTAATTTTCTGTTAAGGGGCGCGAATTTTTGCGCCTCCTCCTTCATCTCGTTCACGTAGGTGCTGTTGTAGAAACTGATCAGGTCACCGCGTTGTTCTTTTTCTTCAACAGTGCCGTCTATAATGAAGAAATATATTAAACTTATAATTTGTTCAATAAAAACTAAATTTTGGCAACTAATTGTAAACCATACAATATTATGTCAAAAAAGATTTACCTATTAGGATAAATTTTAAACTAAAAATAAAGAAACAAATATATAAATTTACGTTTAAAACCCCAAAATCAAAAAATTTGTTATTTAAACCTTTTTAATATTATGTCTATTAAACCAATAAAAAAACCATCAAAATATTGGAGAATTTCAAAAATTATTTTTGAGACTTAAAAATTCTTAACAAAATCTAAAAAATTTCCACCACTTTTACAGGGTACGGAAAATGGGGGACCATTATATAATTATACGAGAGATAATGGGTTCTATTATTCACAAGGACGAGTAAATAATGCGCATAATCTTGAGGGAAATACTGTTGAGTAAGGTGACCATCCTGGTTTACCCAGGACAGGTTCTGGTTTTTGCTAATGTGTTTTAATTGTGTACTGGTTTTGTTTTGGTTTTTGCAAATTTGGTCCTGGTTTATACTACTTTTTTATTATGACGTTATTAGCAATTTGTTTTTAAAGGTCTCAGGTTAAAAATTAATTTAAAAATCTAAAACTTTGGAAGTACATTTAGAAGAGTAAAAAAGTAATAAAAAATCTCGTTTGAAAAAAATCATAAAAAATTAAGACTTTTTCTCACTTTTTATTCTTTTATTTTTTAAAAAAGTGATCGGTGCTCAGGCGAAAAATTAATTTACAAATCTGAATTTTTTGAAGTACCTACCTTCAGGAAAGTAAAAAAGTTAGAAAAAACCTCGTTCGAATTTTTTTTTTAAATTGAAGGGGTTAGAATAGAAAGGGTATAAGTGCAATTTCTTTAATTTAGGAGATAAGTTCGTTTTGTGAAAGATAAGGTTCCGACGTATCGAAATTAAAAGGATTTAAGTAATTTTCATACTTCTAGCAACCTCTATTGTCCAGTAGAAAAACATTACTAAACAAAATTCTTCACTTTTTTATGGTAAAATAACTTTAACTTAACAATGAAAATGTTACTTATACCCTTTTTATTCTAACCCCTTCAATTATGAGTTTTTCCCACTTTTTGAGGATTTGTTCTATTTCTTTTTTAAAGTGGTCGGGGCTAAGGTTAAAAATTAATTTAAAAATTTAAAACATAAGTACATTTAGAAAAGTAAAAAAGTAAGAAAAAACCTCGTTTGAAAAAAAAATATATAAAAAATTATGACTTTTTTCACTTTTTTAGGATTTGATCTATTATTTTTTTTTAAAAGTGGTCGGGCTCAGGTTTAAAATTAATTTACAAATATGAATTTTTGAAAGTAAGAAAAAAACACGTTTGAATTTTTTTTAAATGAGTTTTTCCCACTTTTTTAGGATTTGTTCTAATTTTTTTATTAAATGTGGTCGGGGCTTAGGTTCAACATTAATTTAAAAATCCGAATTTATGGGAGTACCTTTAGGATAGTAAAAAAGTAAGAAAAAACCTCGTTCGAAAAAAATGAGTTTTTTCCACTTTTTTAGGATTTGTTCTAATTTTTTTATTAAAAGTGGGGTTCACGTTAAAAATTAATTAAAAAATCTGAATTTTTGGGATTTCCATCGGAATAATTTTTGTATTATTGACTTTATTAGCACATCTTTTTTTCAAATAATAAATAAATTAAATTTTGTTTATTTTTGAAAGGGCAAGGAGGGGCATGTTGTGTCCTAGTTTTTCATTTTAGAAAGTTGGTCACCTTACTGTTGAGTGAAGGAGTCAGTTATTAATCAATGGTAATACTTTATCAACTCCAATTAGTGATATTTAAATTTTTCAATCATTGGACACTGAATTTTTTGTTTCAACCTTGTCCCAAGTATAATTCAGCAGAATGATGCAATTGATGAAGAGTTTGATCAGTTACAAGAGGCCGACTCTGTTTATGACTAGCCAGCCTTCTTATTATGTTCTTAGTTTTGCTTTAAGTTGAGTTTTATTTATTATGTTGTAATCTTTTTATTTAAGCGTTTCTTGTCATTCATATCACAATGTGTGGATTGTGATTCATATTATGTTAATGTAGTCTCAAGTATTGTTCACACATTATGTATTTTTACGGCGATATATACCTAATAAACCTTTTTTTAAGTATAAACAAATTTTTCCTTAATATAATCCTTCATTTTTGACAAAATAAAAAATTTCAACACAAAAAGTGCCTAAATCCCAAATAAAATAATGTTTTTTGGATATATCAAAAATGGTTTTTCTTTTTTAATCATGGAAGTCAAATTCATTTTCTACCAAGAATACAATACAACACACATTTTGATCATAATATTTCGTGCAATATTTCATAATCAAAAATAAACCTTCAAACCGCAATATCTCAGAATCACCTATTTGTGACCAGTGGCGACCCGTCAGGGGAGGCAGGTGAGGCAGTGCCTTATCATAGAGAATTAAAAAATTAAGAATAATTTAAATATTTTACTTTCTATAATATACTATAGATTTTTTATATTTGGATTACATGAATTGTGAAATAGGCAATAAAATTGATTGATTTTATACGTGGAATACCCAGCAACATTAAATAATTTGAATTTGAAACCACCGCAATTTAAACTAATATTTATAGCTAGATGATTGGCTCAGAAGCATGCCTGAACTAATTTAGACTCACGATTTGCGTTAGCCTTGTTGTCTCGTTCTATTACAATGCGATATCATAGTTGTCTCCTTCTCTCGTATTAGCATACGCGAGGCAGGCACGCCTACACCCAAGGAAATAAGCAGGTGTTGTGGCAACACTGTTACAGAATTTTAGATAAATTATACTTCACACGTTTTTCAAAATTCAATAATAAATGGTATTATTTTTCTTATAATAAATCGATTTAATCGAAATTATATTTCTATTCTAAAATAAACATATTTTAACACTATCGCCATCTTGTAGCTATCACAGTAACCAATAAAATAAATACAGATTCCTTCTTTGGGTTTGTTTTGGTTATAAAATTCTGAACTGTTTAAAGAACAAATCTGGTTATTTACGCAATATTTTGTTTTTTTTTTTTTGAGCTTGTCTATTTTATGATTCTTTTGTAAGTGGTTTATTCTGTGGGTTTAGTTAATTGAACTTGGTGATATACATATGTGAATTTAGTCATTATGGATATTACGGTGAGAAATTGTACCGATATTGTTGATGGTGTACTATTATTAATTTAATGATTAGGGCTTAAACCTAATGGTTATATTAATAATGCTTCACTTTACCTCTACACCTTCACGTGGTTCTTGCTGAACAATGAAATATTAATTAGACAAAAATGAGGTATATTTAAAATAAACGTCAGTTTTACAATAAAATATATTTCATTGACAAAGTAGAGGATTCCTTCCCCACCACAGTCTAAGTTTTTTACTTAGCCTATAGGTTGAGGGCTGCGACGTCAGTTTTTTTACGTAGGGTTTAAAAAAATTTCTTTGCCTTTAAATGAGGGCGAAACCCTGCCTCTGCCTCACCAAAATGAAATGTCACGGGCCGCCACTGTTTGTGACTAAGGCAATTCTTACATAGACCCCTTCATATGCGTGTTGGGTCATTTACAATACATACACTCACATACACAGAGTTTGCGCACGAGCATTTTGAGCATCGTTAGTTAGTAGCAAAGTATGTACATACATACGTTTCTTCTTCTTGGTTTGGGTTTTCTGACAGAAAATACATTAAATAAATTTTATCAACCATGTTAACTTCAAGTCGCCGTAGATACCTTATATTTGGTTTCCAAAACCACCGTTTTTAGAAAATACACAGCATTGCCAAGTTTTGTATTTTTTTTATACTTTAAATAACCCCCTATAGCTTTGGTCCGCTATTTTTCGGACACCCTGTACAATTGAACAAAAACTACTTTCTCGATTTTTATGTAAGAATGTCATATTCTCGCACGCAAAATCGTTGAAGAATGAAGCTCATTCTTAAACGATTTTTGGTAACATTTAGTTTTTAAGTATTGGTACCCCCAAAATGTCAAACTGATTAATAACCTCAAATTCATTACTTTTATTGAAAATGAAGCCTTTATTATTGTTTTGTAATATAAAGTTTGCTCCAACAATGCATTTTAATGCAAAATTTTAAGTTTAATGTGTAAAAGTGCAGTTCAGGTTGTACTTGTGCAGGATAACAAATATTGTCATTTTGTGTTGCCAACTGACATTTTGCGAGAAAAATCCCCTAACTAGCAACGACCACAAAACAATTAAAAAAACCTAAATAAAAGTTAAAATCGAGAAAATAGTATAAATCACACGTTGCAGAAGGCTATTCTCGCACTCATTCGTTCGTCCACTCGCTCCTTCGTCGCTCGAGGCCAAATTTCGAATTCGTGCGAGAATATGTGGCCTTCTGCAACTTGTACTTTAATATACTATTTTAATTACAAATTACTGTAACCTAAGTCCTCAATTTAAGCTTTCGAGCTTTGTTTTGAAAAATTGTATCCCAATTTTTTATATTTTCTACTGTGAGAATTTTCCCCACACTTTCGTGATTTTAAACTATTGTGCGAATTTCTCTTACTGCTTTTTAATTTTTAACTACTATGCGAATTTTTTCTGCCATTTTATATAATAATGCAACTGTACGAATTTTGTACGACAATTTCAATACGAACCAGGCATGAACGCGCCGTTTGCGTTTTATCTTCCGTAACGCCAAGTTTAGGTTTACCACGTCCGCAAATAATTTTAAATATTAAATAAAACCTTCAATAAGATCAAACACTTGTCAGAAATTCTTACCTTCATTTTGTCTCGTGGTGGTTCCCAACAGTACGTTCCGGTAGATGTCGCTGGTTGCTTGCGGCTGGCCGCGATAGCACTTCATCACTTCGGTGAACTTGATGCTGTCCTGGCTGACCTTGGCGATGACGTAGACGGCGCACATGAGCAGCTGATCAAGATGGCGGTTCTTCATCAGATAAGTGTGTTTAATGATGGAATCCTCGAATATCGTCCAGATTTTTGGTTTCAGATCGAGCTTGTCCAGGTGTATGCACAGGTGGTGAAGTCTTTCGCCAACTAAATAATAGAACTAAAAGGAGAAGAAATACGTTAAAAAAATTTGTTTAATAGTATTATTCAAGACGCCTCAGCGGTATCAAGATAAATGAAGCACATTTTGAAAATTTTATATAGGTACATTTTTAATTTAATTGAAGTTATCATCTTTTAAAAGCACGTTTTATTGACTAATAGAGAATTTATATGCAGATTAATTGTGAATTCCAGTAAATAGCGTCGAATATCCGCTTTTTTCAAAAGGTTACTTTCAAAACTAATAATCTTTAAGATAAAAAAAAAAATTATATACAAAAGGATTTTTCGGTAAACATCTTGGGCTCGCCAATTGCAATTGCACCAAATTAATTTAGAAAAAAGCGGATATTTCACCCACTCTACTGCAAAATGCAATAAAATAAGAATACATAATAAAAATTACATACATAATATAATATAATAATTATTATTTTGTCAAGCATACTATCATAGACCATAATGGTCCACACACCCAAAAGTCATGACTTTGATACAAATAATTAAAGTTAGTTTTTTTCCCAGTGTGAAGGTTATTTTGTCCTATTTTCTGAAAATAATGCAACATAATACATAATAAATATTACATACATATAATATAATTTATATTTAATATAATCTATATATATTAGGGTGTGCCAAAAAAACTCGATATTTTTTTTTCTTGCTCTCCACCCAAAATATCGTAGAATATGTCCAAACAAATATTCTGTTAAAAGCGGAGCTCATAATTTCAATTTTAAGAGGTCCCTCATCGAATCTGAAGTTTTGCCGCTTAAATAACACAGAAAACTGACTTTTTTACCTTATTTATTCTTGCAACCTAGGAAGAATTTTTTTTTTCATAAAATCCATGACTAATTCTTACAAAGCATTAAATTTGGACAAAAAAATCTTACTAAGCCGAATTTCTATTTTCATTATTTGATTTTTTCCCGAGCTTTAAATTTAAAGTTAATAATACAAAAATGATGACTTTATACGCCTGTAACTTTTAGAATATTGACGATACAAAAAATTCGCCTAAAACTTTTTTGTGGTCCATCAGACAAGCTAAAAAATTGCCTCTTGACTTTTTCGTCTAACTTCAATAGTTTAGCTGAAAAAGGCAAAAAACGTAAAATTTTAAATTTAAAGCTCTGTAAAAAATCAAATAATGAAAATAGAAATTCGGCTTAATAAGATTTTTTCGTCCAAATTTAATGCTTTGTAAGATTTGGTCATGGATTTTATGAAAAAAAAATTTCTTCCTAGGTTGCAAGAATAAATAAGGTAAAAAAGACTGTTTTCTGTGCTATTTAAGCGGCAAAACTTCAGATTCGATGAGGGACCTCTTAAAATTGAAATTATGAGCTCCGTTTTTAACAGAATATTTGTTTGGACATATTCTACGATATTTTGGGTGGAGAGCAAGAAAAAAAAAATATCGAGTTTTTTTGGCACACCCTAATATATATATATATATATATTGACAGAAAATTAACCTTTATTATTTGTACCAAAGTCACTTGGTGGGACATTTGGGTGTGAAGCAAAGTACAATAATTTTTTTTCAAGCGGACAATAATTTTTATATTATAAGTTTATATAGACAGACTTAATAATAATACTAGTTCAAAAGTCAAATTATTATTAAACTCAATAAACCCCCTGACCACCCAACCCATCCTTTGTCTATGCTCAATAAGGAAATAAATCTAAAATGTCATCATGTCAGTTGAACCATAGATAACACAGATTATAAAGGTTGATAGATAACATAGATAACTAACCTAAAAATGATGTGACAGAATCTTAAAAAAATATTAAATTAAATGCTTGAAAAAAATAGTGCATAAAACCCGGCGGCGAAGGCCTATTACATAATTGCCTCGAACACAATCTACTGCGTCAGTAGTGAAATGTATACTCGGCAATAATATGTGCTTTCTCCGTCTGGTCTATATTACTGATAAGTCTATATACTATATAGACGTATCAGTAATATATTATAGAAAGATTTCATATAAATACTAGTTCAAAGGTCAAATTATTATTAAATGCTAAAATGACATCATGTCAGTTGAACCTAACCTAAAAATGATTAGACAGAATCTTAAGAAATTATTAAATTAACTGCCTCGTACACAATCTACTGCCTCGGCAGTGAACTTATGCTCGGCGATAATATGAGCTTTTCCACCTAGTCTATAATGTACTATTATGAAAGGTCTTTGTTTGACTATTTAAAAAAAAACTGTTTTTGACGTTTAAAATGTAATCTTGGATGTAGGGGGTTCAGGATTGAATTGAAATGAAAAAGAACAAGAATTATACACACAAAACTTGTTATGTTTCTTAGTGCTAAATATTAGTTCATTATAGACTTACCTTTCTAAAAAAAATAGCCAAGCTTCCTGTTTTTCTGGGAGGATAAACCTCTGGGGTTTTTGCCTTTTCTTCTGGAGCCACAACTTGTTGCTCGCTATGATCTTGTTCTATCAAAGGTATTAACCGGTTTTGACCATTGCTATCAGTAAAAACTAAAAAATGTATTAATGGAAAATTGTTTCTTTATTTTTTTGAAAAACTTACTCAAATGTGTGGTGTGTTTATTCAAAACGGATTGGCCAGCTGAAACAGTTGGGAAAAGTTGTCTGCTTACATGATTTGAAATGGGCGACTGAAACTCTTCTGAAGCTGAATGGACAGCTAAAAATAAATTAATTTTTATTAAAAACTAATAATAGTTAGTATGTTTTGGATTGGTCAATCTCAATCCGTGATCTTGTGATAAGTGTTCAGGGTTAGTTATGTAAAAATTCCGCTATTGGCGGAATCAAGCGGAATAAGATATCTGAAGTGAATTTAAAATTGTATAAGATGCGAAGTTTAAATAATAAAAAGTAAATGAAAATCCGAACAAATTCAATAAACTTCACGCGAAAAAAAACATAAAAAGTTCGGGTAAAAGAATTGTTAATCAAAGGATGATACGTCTTAATAATCCAATCCTGAATTTAGGATATTTGAGCGTAAATCACGTTATTACGTGAATCACAAGTGAACTGAATGTGAGCTCGTGCTGATCATAGAACTGCGTGCGTATACTAGCTCACATGTTATTCAATTAAGTATGTTTATGTGATTTCACATAAAGATCACGAATGGTATCTGGGCAATTGGAAAAAAATAAAGATAAAATAACATATGAATTTGTTCATTATTAAAAATTCCTTGTGGCATTTTTCTGGCAAAAAAAATAAAATAAGGTTTACTCTTAGAAAGTAACGCACAGTAATGGAATTAGGAATGGGCTCGCGAGACCAGACCATAGGGCGTCACAATTTTAGGGACGACAAAATTTAGAAAGAAACCCAGATTTTTAAAAACTACTAAAATTTAAAAATTGAAAAAGACGTCAAATAAGAATACATTTTGTTTTTAACAATTTTAATATTTTTAACACTAATCAGGACGTTGAGTATGAGTATTTTATAATAATATTTCTATCACCAAAACTTAAAATGTCAAACAAGATTTAGTTTTATTATTTTTATATTTGATATAGAAAAGTTATTTTATAGTTTTTTTTCGTACATCCTTTTTTGGACTAAATAATGCCTTTCCTTTGAGCTGTTTAATTTAAAAATAAAATACAATGTGTACTTTTATTTAGTGAAAAGGGGACCAAAATGCATTGCAATATTAGAAATATTTTTATTTTTAAAAGTAATAAAAACGTAAAAGTTCCATTTCTTCATTTGTAAATGTTATACATACTGGAAAAATTCACAGATTTTTTAATCGAATTACAAATTTTAATTTAACAGTTTCTTACCTCCAGTATGGTGTGTAGTCTCATTGGAAATCTGATCAGGCCTGGCGGTTTCTACAAATCTCGGTATTGCACCGGCAACACCGATAAAATCCCACAGCACACTTTCGGAACTCCACGCCAAACTTTCCAAAATCGTTTCCTCCGCCTTGCTTAGATGTTTTATTATGTCTCTGGGCGACAACTCTTTCGTCCTGACAATCAGCTCGATGACTTTCAGAAAATGATAGGGTTTGATGTCGAAGATCGTCAACATCCACGGAAATTCCCTATTAAAATTCTGCTGGTTGTCGTGGACAAACGTCACAATTTCCAGAGAGCACGCAAAAGTTAGCTTGTAGAAACCTTCATTTACAACTATGGCCGATAAATTTCCTTGGATTGTTTGCTCATTGGATAAAATGCTTTCTATTAATTTGTAGAATAGTTTAATAGCCATTTGAAGACGATTTTCGATATCTTCTTCTGTTAAGTTTTTATGCTTATAAGCGTTTGTAAAAGTGATGCCCATGTTGTTTGTCATTTGTTTTATTATATCTGCAGGGTTTTCTGTGCAGGATCTAAAACAATATAAAACAATAGAATTGTATATACTCTTTTAAACCAAACAAAAACACATAAATGTTAATGTGTGATTTTAAACTCTTACATATTTTAAAAGGTATATTTTTAGATTATTGTCTGTTTTTCCATGCACTTCATTTATAAATATTTTAGAACTTTTTGACTGCTAGGGTTAAAAATCATGTAGACTTTTTTTATCTAAATTAAAGAGATTCAGAAATTAAACTAATAAAGCATGTATGACAATTCTAGATCTCCTTTTATATAATACTAAATTCATTTGAACTCTTGTAAACTGGAAATTTGACATGTTTGTGATATATGCTTCTACAATTCACAAAAACTGATTTAACAAAGTTTTTTAAGATTAGATTGGGACAGAGAATACACTGCTCTGATTTTCAAAAGAATCAACTTTTATGAAAAGTTAAGTCGAAAATTTTAAGGAACGCCCCCCAGGAATGCCAAACAATACATAGTGTAATAAATATATGTAGATACGGAAACATAATATTTTCAGAGAGGTATGATGAAAAATATTGATAGGGTAAACTTACTCAAATAATTGCAATAATTTATCACTAGGCCCAGTCCTGGTCCCACTTAGGATATTCTGAAGATAAATAATAGTTTGCGATGTGTCCGTAACTTCGTTTTCATGTTCTTTGGGTGGCAGAAATCTGCGACCTGTCAGTGGGGTTTGAAATATACCGCGTTGCTATAATTAAAATTTTGATAATAAATTAAGATTATTTTTCCTTTAATTAATATTCTTACCACTTTGGGTGATTCAAGGACAGAAAAGTCAGCTTGTTCTGACATGTGTGCCTTGTATGTTCTGTAAACTGGAGTTTGTTGTTGAAGTTCTAATAATTGTCTTCTGTATTCAGCTAAAAAATAATTAAAATCCTTCATCACAAACTTGTATTTATAATGTACTGAAAAAAATAATTAATATAGTATTTTAAAATATCTATAAATAGGAAATGCAACTAACAAATTGTTGATGAAAAATATTTGGGCATTAATTTTTGGAGATTGCAATATCCAACCCAAACTAACAAAAATCAATATTCTTAAATCACACAGAGTAAATACAAATGGTTTAAGGAGGCTTTGGACCATTTTTAAAAATAATACCATAGTTTTTTATTACTAAACAATTGTTTGATTTGTAACAAAACGCTACCAAAACAGAAGACATCAATACGCATCGACAATTAGCGACCCTGGTGGTGAATAAAAAAGACTTAATTTGTGCTATTTAGAGGTCAGGTTTTGTCAATTTCCCCTATTAAGTTCGGTGTGGTATTTTCGTACATATTTTATAGTGCTTGCCTTTTGTTTGCCGATGGGTGCAGCCAGTGCACTATACTTTAAATGTCAAAGTTGTTTGAGTTTTTAATTTTAAACTGTTTTTTCTACTCCCATCGTTAAAACGCCCATTATCGTACATGTTTCCATGACACTAAGTGAGCTATTAAATACATATTGATAAGTTGCGGCCGAGGGGTAAACCGCTGAGGTAATTTGGTGTACATGCTTAAGGTAATACTAAGGAAATACGGGGTAGTACAGGGTAATATACAGAAAATACTGGGTAATATGTTATAATGCAGGCAATACAGGGGTAATACGGGAAATACTAAGGTAATACAAAGGAAATACTGAGGTAATACGGGGGAAATACAGAGGTGAGACAAGGGTAATACTGAGTAAATACAAACTAAACGTATAGATAGCGTATATTAAACGAGATATTAAACGAAGACACCGAAAACAAACAACCAACAGTCAATTCGTCACCCTAATATAACAAGGTTGTATGTTAAAAAACCGAAAAATTTGAGTTTATGCTTCTACAAGGTTTTATGCAATCCACCCTTGACATACAACTTGAAAATAACTCTATATATATATGTATACATAGAATATACATTATATAAAATTATTTTTAAGTGGTATGTGAAGCGTAGGGCACGTATAATCCTGTAGAAACATAGACTTAAATTTTTCGTTTTTTTTAACATACAACCTTGTTATACTAATAATAATTATCAAGTCAATTATTGAAACTCCTGAACTAACATGTGAAACAAAGTTTGATGACTCCAGCAAAAGTGCAGGTTTCAGTAAAAAATCCGAGCAAAAATCGAAATTGGCAATGGAAAAATATTATAGAAAATATTAATGCAAATCAAACCCTAATAACTCAATATTTAGTAATTACAGGAAAAATATTAGAAAATTCAGAATTCGCACAAAGCATTATTAAAAATTTAGAAAATTCTGACGAAGGTAAACAAGACATGACTTATTTTTTTTTTAAACTTAAAAATTTCCTTGGAAAATACAAGCGGGCCAAAAAACAAAAATAGGTATGACGAGGCCCTGAAAAAATTTTCAGTATACCTATATTTTTATGTTGGTGGAAGATTGCTTAAATTTATGAGACCTTACAAGCTAATCTAAAAAACTGTTTGCCCTCTACATCTAAATTAAATAGGTTTATCGATAATAAAAATGTTCAAAGAGAAGAAGGAATCATTATTTCAGTGACCTGTCTAATTTTTTAGAAAAAAAAAAATGAAAATGATATGGGTGTCAAAAGACGTTACTTGAATAACAAAACAAAATACTTGGATTTGTTTCACCCGATCTGCATTTAAAGGACTATTCTAAAAAAGTTTAAGCAATAAACCGAAATTTTCCTTTTGTACAAATTAAACTTAAGGACAGAAACATTATTGTCAAAAAGTCGTCATTTTGTTGGCTTTTTGGCGAAAATAACGGCAAGGTGAGCACAGACCGTTTAAAAAGATTTATTGTAAGAAAAAGTGAAAATAAAAAAATCTCGAAAAGAACAGAAAAGAAGAAATCCTCCAAAAGAATTTTAAATAAAAGAACAGAAAAACAGATCAAGTCTCGTCCTCAACATCTACTACTGATGATGAGCAGGTCGAATTGGATGACTGAACCGACACTGAAAAATTTAGTTCTGAATTCAGATTCGGAACCTCAACCGAAAATTTCTAAGGTCGAAACCCTGAAAGTTAATTTAGAAAGCTACTTTGCTCTGTTCTGTGATGAAAAATGGTATCTTGGCCGCATAATCGAAAAATGCGACAATGATAATTTTAAAATGATGTTCTTAAAGACTGAATTGGACCATTATGTTTGGCCACGGCCAGATGATGTAAATACAAGGTGGTCCAGGATTAATCTGAAAAATTTTAATGATCGATAGAGCCTGAAAAAATAATAAAAACAAACCCAAAAACATTTTTTAAAAATACACACTAACACACTAATAGCCCTTCAAAGGCCAAAAAAAAACGTTTTTTTTTAAATAACTTCTGCTCAAATTTTGTGTACCTAGTTAAAATTTCCTACAAAAGGCCCAGCGGCGGATATTTTGTGGGGGTTTCCCCTTTTTACCCCCATATTTCGTCACCACTGGATTTTATTGGAAAATCATCAGATTTCTTATTCAATTTAGAAGCAAAACTTGTGTGTTAAATTTTCATAAGATAATTGTTTTCGGAGACTTTAAAATTTCAAAAACACCGAGTACACGGAATTTTATCATATATTATTTTAAATCGGTAACTTGGTAACAATTATGCCACGTTATCAGTTTATAAAATATTATAAAAATAAACTAGCGTCCAGGAGTCATCGTGCAGTTGTTACTGATCCCGTCATATTTTTAGGTTGTTTTATTATAACGTTGATTGAGGATTACAATCAACGTCTGTAATTAATAATTTAATTGTATTATAATACAAAATCAAACCAACCCAAAAACCACCCTATTGAAAGTGATTATTCCATAATTTCATTGGTAAATTTTTATTGGCCCAATACAATCGTTCAGAAAAAAAATATTAACAAAAGTTCCGTGTACACAGTGTTTTTGAAAATTTAAACTGAAATATCTCCGTTGATCTGATAAAAAATAAACATAAAAGTTTTGCTTTTAGATTGAAAAGGGATAAAAATAAATCTGATGATTTTCTAATAAAATCCAGTGGCGTCGAAAATATGAGGGTAAAAAGGGGAAACCCCTCCCAAAATCTCCGCCACTGGGCCTTTTGTAGAAAATTTTCATTATATTATCGACGGAAGCTTAACCTACACAAAATTTGAGAAGAATCGGTTTAATGGATTAAAAATTATTTTGAAGGACTATATCTCCGTTAGTATGCATTTTTGAAAAATGTTTTTGGGTTTGTTTTTATTGTTTTTTCAGGTTCTATCGATCATTAAAATTTTTCAGATTAATCCTAGACCACCCTGTATAATAAATAAAATGTATTTTTTCTTTGGGCCCGTGCAATTGTTGGGAAATGGTCCATTTCAATTAAAACGATCTGATGTGCTTCAAATAAATATAAAACAATAAAAAAACTATAAATTAATTTTTTTGACAATTTTTCATGTTTTTGAATAATTTTTTTTTTCCATGGTTTTCTTTTCGCCTTTGCATTTACTTTACTTTTTTACCTCCTATTTTTATCGAAATCCATCTCTAGCTTCATAGCAAGGGGAAGGGGGGGTCAAAAATTTCGAAAAACTACGTCATGTAATACATGGGTATAAAAACTATGGTAATTACAATAATTGGACATGTGGAAATTTTATTAAATCTTGAAACTTTAGGCTATTCTAAGAATTTTTTACAAGGGAAATTTTTAAAAATAAATAAAATTAAGGGAAAATACGGGAAATACTTGGGTAGTACTAGTATTTTGCAGGTAATGGCCAGGTAATACTGGTATTACATGGGTAATGCAAGGTAATCCCGGGTAATTTTATTGTATTACTCAGGAAATACTGGGTACTACAATGAAAATGGGAAATGGTGTACAGCTTTTTACTTAGCGGTTTACCCCTCGGTTGCGGCTTTATGGCGTTTTAGTCACTGGCTGAAGTTAGCAACAGGTGTTTAGTAACGGGCTGAAGTTCGTTTTAAGTTAGTTGATAGTTGTCAAATGTCAACAATTGTTAAAATTATGTGCCTTCTTGTAATTATTGAATGTATGTATTATTTTAATTTCGCCGGCAGTAAACTAGATCCAATGGGTTAATTTTGTGTGGAGACTCCACATTTTCTTTACTTTCACTGTGAATAACTGCTTCTATATTGGATTAAACAGTGCATTTTCAAGAGATACATTTTGATTTACACATAAAAATTTGACATATGACAAAATACAAATTCCCAAGTTGGTTATGCAACATGTTTATAAACTTTAATAGACACTTATTTAATTAAGCACTCGCTCGCAAGCACGCTCGTGCCTATATTAAATTCTTGTCTTAAATGCCGTTTATCAAACTTGATACATAATATACTATTTTATATGTTATAAGACAAGTTTTGAACATTTAAAATGGTAAAAGCCTAGAAAATAAATAATTAAAAATAACGTTTTTACTTAAAATACTTCTTCAAAATTTAGGTTATGAAAAAGTAAACAAATGTCAAAAGTTAAAAATCATAGTTAATCAAATTAACTGTAATGTCAAAACCTATTTTACCAAAGTATTTCATATATTTGCTGTCACTGCCTAACTGTTATTTATTTATCAAATAGTCCTAAAACTCAAAAACTTCTCCAAAAACATTTGTTTTCTACTTAATATCACCCTGCATGGTATGTGCACACCCTGTACTAGTATAGCATAGAACACTGGAATTTTTTTAAAAATTGCAATTCTAGATAAATGTAAAACTATGATGCCTTAGCCAATTTCCTTTTGCACAAAAAAAGGTGCTCAGGTAAAAATCAGCTGAATTAAATTTTATAAAAACAAAGCAAAAAACTTACCCATAAAAATTCTCTCATCAAAACCACCTTTGCTTAACAATTGCATATCATAGGCTTTTGTGATGTTTTTGGAGTTTTGTTCAAAAACTCCTGGTTCAAATATACCAAGAAAATAATCATTGGCCCCAACCAAAACATCATCTGCCAACAATTTATTCAAATGATCTCTAAATCTGTATGTTTTAATGTGCATTGCTTCAGTAAGCAAATTTTCACATTTACACAGCAACTTAATTATGCAGGGTGCTTCAGGAGGCATTTCAAAGCCTGGGTTTGTCCAATCTTCTGGTAAACCAACAAATGTTGGTCTTAAAATATCTCTTCGATCTGACACAAAAGCATTCTTAAATGCTAGGTCAATACAAGCATAAAGCACATGAAAGGATTTGGTTAAATCACTGCCATAGTTTGGTTCTCCCATTTTTATGGTGTTAAATAGGTTCCAAATGAATTCGAACACTTTTGCACTTGTACAGGATAAAGGCCTAAAAACCAATAATTATTAAGCATTCCTAAACTAAGATTTTTCTTAGATTAACTTACGCCGTGATTTTTCATGCATTTTGCTCATTTGTTTATCAACTGAGCTTATGGCGTGAGAAAAAAATCATGTCGTGAGTTACAAAAACTAAGTGGCGCAAGCATGCGCAGAGAGTGCAAAAAAAATATAGAAAACGTAAAAGTGAGCTAAAATTATTAAATAATTACCTTTGTTTTCTATTTCTGTGTGTTTTGCTTTGATCTAGCTCTTGAGGATCAGGAGTGATAAAAATCTGGTTAAAAATCTGCTTAAATTCCTTAAAAGTATTGTAAGCCACACCAAAAGTGCTTTTAAGATGTGAAATTTGTTCCTTAAATTCATTGGACAATTTTGCCATTTCAATCCAATTGTTCATATTTAAAAAAAATTTCACAAAGCTAAAAAAGTTAAATGTGTTACGTATACAGGGTCTTATGGATATAAGAATCATTACTTTAAAATAATTACTACATCATGTTTTTCATTTATACAGGGTGTTAAGAAAAGAAAAAAAATTACCAGGTAGTAGAGCTTCTAATAATAATAAAAAATTATATAAACATAGTGCAAAAACGACTCCCAAGTCCGTCCCTGAAAATGTTTTTTTATAAAAATTACCAAAACCTGGGGTTTATGTCAAACTTTTTGAAAATAAAATTAAGTTGAAATTTTGGTCCTAAACAGTAGAAAATGTATGTAACCCTAATTTTTGTGTACACATAATGACTTTTTTCCATATTAAACCAACATTATTAAATAGTAATGTAAAAAAAGGTTTTTTTAGTCAAATTGATTTAAATTTCGTCAATAAACTTGCACAGATTCAGCAAAGTAAACATTTTTTTTTAATTAAGAAAAAAGTATGTATGTCAAAAAATCGGTTTTTGACATTTTACATTGATGACGTAAGGGTCAAGTTAAAAAAAAAATTATATCCACAAAATCAAGCAGTTTTGGACCTGTCTAAACAAACATTTTTCAATCACCCAATCACGCCATCAATTAAGAACCATCCTTTTTTTAGTAAAATTGATTTAAATTTCGTCAATAAACTTGCACAGATTCAGCAAAGTAAACATTTTTTTTTTAATTTAGAAAAAAGTATGTATGTCAAAAAATCGGTTTTTGACATTTTACATTGATGACGTAAGGGTCAAGTTAAAAAAAAATTATATCCACAAAATCAAGCAGTTTTGGACCTGTCTAAACAAACATTTTTCAATCACCCAAGTATCCGCCATCAATTAAGAACCATCCTGTATGATAATATACATATATTATATAAATGGATAGCATTTATCAAAAAGGAACCGCCAAAAACCATTTCTAGGGTAAACAAAATTATTTGCTCAAAAAATTAATAATGATTTGGGAACCCTCTCAATACTTTTGATAAAAGTTCCAAATGAATATCAACCTTTTGAGCACTATTAAAAATGAGTTATTTTGCAAATAATTTTGTTTACCCCAGGAAAAGTTTTTGGCGATAGGTTCCTTTTCAATAAGCATTATCCAAATATAAAGGGCGTTTAACTCACTAAGAACTCATTTCTCACACTATGTATAACAATTTTTAATAATTTGAGAAGTTCTACCACCTCGTAAATTTTTTTACGTTTCTCTAACACCCTGTATATAAAGTGCCTTTACCAATTTAAATAAAATTTAAAAGTACTTTTTATTCTTTAAGGATATTATTTTGTAGACTAAATTTTCTTTTAATTTTGGCTATGCCAAGAAAAAAACTTAGTGGTGTACATATATTTTTTTTACAAAATTGGACCTAAAAACACTGCACCAATCTTGTAAACAAGACAAGCTCAAAAAAAATTATAAGTATTGTTTGCATTTCTAATGACACTGGTAATTTACCACCAATATTAAATTATATAAGATATGCTAAAAGAGGATTTGTAACATACCTTAGATTGCTGTGTCGGAGTAGACTTGTAAAGTTCAGGCAATTGCCTCGAACCACAGAATGATCCATTGTGGTGGTTTCTGTGGATTGACATGCTTCAAAAATTGCACAACCAAGCCAATGCATTATATCATCCTGAAATTATATTTTAATTTGTTAATAAATATTGCAGATCATAAACAAACAAACCTCAAGACTAAAATTTTTCTGTATGTTTTGGAACTTGTCCCATGAACTTTGAATAATGTGTTCCTCCAAGTTTAATTGTCCACACAAATCCCTGTGTCTTTTATACAATTCGTCTTTTTGCACCATTTTATAATTATAAATAAATCACAAAATATAAATTAAACACAAACAGATGAACACCAGCGAATCGAGCCAACTAAATTTCGACACCACCCATAAAGGCGGGAGACTGTCAGATTAAAAAACTAAATTCCCAGGGCTTTGTTATCCAAAAAGGCGGCAAAACAATTTTCACAAATACACAAATTTAAATTGGTTTCTACGCATTCATACGTTTACGCGGTTCTTTTTTTATGTGCTAATTTTCGCAGACTGCTTGATTTACTATGCGTGTAGACATAACCTAGAAACAGCTGACAGACTGAAGGTATCATTTAAAAGAATATTTATTTTGTGTGGTGTATATTTTGAGGTAAATTAAATTGCTAAAGGTAAATTTTCTTTTATTTGGTAGGAATTTTAAGCTATTTAAGGAAAAAATTAGGTAAATATTTTATTCCCGCCAAATCAGTTGGTTGCGTTCAGAAATTTGTTTGTATATGCTTGTGCTAATAGGTCAATAAGCAATAGAGTTTATAAAATTGTTAAGTCATAATTTAGGCATTTTTTAATTATAGTCGATATATTAAGGTAATTTGTAGCTTTTTAATTTAAATTATAGTTTTAAATTTTGTATTATTTCGGAACATATCAGTTATGTAAGCTTATTTCCTATACGAGGGGTGGTAGAGAAAAAGCCAGCAAACCAGTGTTGTCGAACGTCAAAATCATAGAAAAAGGATATAAGGGCGACCTCAGTGTTATTTCCTATACGAGGGGTGGTAGAGAAAAAGCCAGCAAACGTCAAAATCATAGAAAAAGGTCAAAATGCTAAATCAGGAGAAAGTAGCGTTAAAAATTGGTAGATTACTGCGCAAAATCGGTATAAATTATTAAGACTAAATTCCACCGTTGTCGTGTTTTGTATTTAACAAATAAATTAAAAATCGGTAAATCAAAAATTTTATTTAAAAGAAAATACAAACAATAGTAAAAAAGGCTAAATGTAACTGCTGTTTTACTGATTCAGTGTAAGGTACCTTAAGTAATTATTGTATTTTTAATGTACTTATGTTTAATTAAACCAATTTGTTTAGATTAGATTTACTCCAAAAGCATCAATGCATCAATGCCAAAAGTTTATTTCATTCATTTTATTTGTTTAATTATTTGTTTCACTTTTAGTTAAATTTCTTAATCTAGAGTTCTAGTCTGTTTTGTAAACTAGTAGTTCTCTTTAATTAAATCTCTGGATTAAGTTTATTTACCTACTTTTAATTTAACTTAATTTTGTTTTTTATCTTTTCATTTTTATTGTTAATTCTTTGTTTGCTAATATATGTATAATATACATACATTGTATATGGTTTGAAATATCGCTTTATTGCTACTGTCTATTTTATAAGAAATAACCCTAAATCAATTTAAGTAAGTAAATAAGTGTTGATTATGCTGGTTGCAATTCCACCCAAAACCTTCATTGTTGTATATGATTATAATCATAATAGGAGTGACAGGCTTAATAAATTCAGAAATTGTTTTAAAAAGTCTTACATTAAATATTTAATTTTTGAACTAAAGTTTTGACCATAGTTGCCAGTATCAAATGTGATATTATTGCCAAAAATTGGTGAAAACAAATTATTGCCAAAAATCGGTAAAAATTCAAAGTATTCGGTATTTCGGTAGGTCCGTTGCCATTTCGGTAGAAATACCGAAATTTCGGTAGGTTCGACAACCCTGCAGCAAAACTATTTCCAGTTCTTAATAAGAACTTCTTATTTCAATAGTCGCGAAAATTGAGTTAAAAGTTCGTCAACTTTCCATTATGTTAGGTACCTACGTAATGCTGGGTAAACGCGTCCATAGTATTATAGAGTCTTATCTTTTAAATTAATTTAGTTTACATTACATTACATTAAATGCTTGCTATAGCCATATTTATAAATCCACCTTTATTAACTTAATCCTATACAGTGTGACCCATATTTGTTTGCGACTCATGAGTGCATGGGGTGCACCCCTGTAAAATCTGTATTTTTTTAAGCAAAAGACGCCATATTAGTACAAAATACATGTATTTTGTATTTGTATTTTGTACAAGGGGTACTATCGCACAATAAATAAAGATTTTACAGGGGTGAGTCGCAAACAAATGGGTCACACTGTATATACTGCCCTACTATGGAGAAAGGCAGTAACTGCTAAACAAGAAATTTGTGGAAAATTAGCATAAACTACATTTTTATAAAAAGAAGTAGGTATTAAATTGATTTTTTTAACTTATGAGATATTTGATTGCATTTCTATGTTGAATTCGGTTACAAAATGTCCATAGCTTTACCATAGCAGAAGAAAACGCATTTTGTATTTTTTTGCAGTAACTGCCTTTCTCCATAGTAGGACGAGTGGATAGTGCTGCTGACTACAAGCCGGAGGTCGTGGGTTCGAATCCCACCAGGGGTATGGCTGTTTATTTGTGTTTGTCCTATCGTGTAATAGTCCTTCGGAGGGGACTTTAAGCCCGCGGTCCGTTCCTACCCCTAACCCGCACAAGCCATTCAGTTGGCTTATGGGACTTCTTAAGAAGTAAGGGTGGAACTAAAAGAGCACTTTTGTATATAAACTAGAGCGTATACAGGTACTGATTTTTAATAGAGGCGCTATGAAAAATCTAAAAATTTCCATTGTTGCTTATTATAACACAAATTTAAATATTTTGTTATTTTTTTCAAATTTTTACAAAAAAATTTGACATCAAAATCTAAACTTTCTTTATGGACAACTAACCTTGCTTCCGGTTATCATTATCGCTGTCAAAATGACAATATTGTACAGTCGTATTCAAATAAAAAGCGCAGTTTTTTAATAGAAATAAAAGCACGATTTTGAAAATTAAACAATTATTGTTAACGTTGGGAAAAAGAATAATCAATTAAAAGAAAAGTTGGTACAGGTCGGCCAAGAATTTCCAATCCTAGACAGGGTGCAAATTTATTAAGATTTTTAAGAAACAATCCTTTTGCAACGGCCAGGGATGCGTTTATTGATACTGCATTTCCTGGCGCTCTTTACTAACAGAAGAACGGCGTCAAGCCAGAGTTATTTTTGCTTTAAATTACATACACCGGAATCCTCAATATTGGCACAATTTTATTTTTACTGACGAAAATACATTACAGTCGACTTACAATGGCCAAATACGTGTATATCGTCCAGCAAATACCAAATTTGAACCACATCCCAGACAGCAATATGACGTCTTAATTAAGTCTGCATAATCTCTATTTTATGATTTGGACGTCAAATACAACATCAGAAAGAAGTTTTTAAGAAGTTCTTAAGACCTATTGAACTAATCAAGAACTCTTGAGAAACCCTTTTCTTTGACTTCGCAATTAAGCATTTTAAAGAGTCCTACTGTATAAACTTATAAAAAGACTTCTTTAAAATTTCCCGTTTTGGATATAGAAGTACTACTAGGGTACTGATGAAAAAATTACATACTGAATCGTTGTTTATTTTGACATGTCAAATTATTACCATAGAACAAATATGATTTCAGTAAGAAGTAAGAAAAGAGAATACTGTAAGATATCATATAACTGAAGTCTCATTTATGATACCCTTAGTAGCTTCTAATTTTGATTCCAATAGGAGGTCAGAAAAAAAGATACTTTAAGATGTTAAAAAATTGACTTCTCATTGAATTCATCAAGAACTCTTAATCTTGAGCTCCTAAAAATGATTTCTCTAAGATGTCATATTTTGACCTTGGTAAGATGTTTTTAAACAGACTTCGTACAGAAATCTTTCTGAATTGGATGCTATACTTGGATATTATACTAACCCACTTGCATCAAGATCTGGGCGTTTCTCTGTCAATATATGGGGCTAGTAAAGTGTTCATAGACCTGCAGGTCTTTGCTGGCGAATAGAGAACAGATTTAATTCCAAAAATTACGTTAACATTTTAGAAAACATATTTCTACCCTCTGTTGACCAAAATTATCCTAACAACAATTTTATATTTCAACAAGATAACTGTCCAATTCACACTGCTAACGCTGTTACCCACTGGTTTCAAACCAATAATGTGGAACTGCTGCCCTGGGCCAGTTACAGTCCCGATATAAATCCTATCGAAAATATTTGGGGAATTATTGTAAAAAAATATATAATCAAAATTTTAGACCACATAATGCGAACGAATTATTTGAAAAAATCCTTGAGTGCTGGGAAGACCTGGATTCAAATATTGTGTCAAATATTATTCAATCAATTCCTAATAGTGTAATGGGCACGATATATGGGGCAGTTAATTTTTAACATTTCTTAATTTATTTTTAAGATTTACAAAATAGAAGATTAAATTTTAAATATTTGTTTTTAAAATTGTAATAGGTGTTAACACCTAATTAGGTATAAGTTTCACTTTAGAATTCCATACATTCTTTATTTGTTTATTATACAATAATAATTTATGAGTCCCATCTGGACGACCACTTGAGGGTTCGTTACAGAAAGACCAAATAAACAAGTTTTGGTTCATGTTTCTAGTCTTAAAAAAATAAACATAGAAAGAGCGTGTTAAATACTTAGAGAGGACAGTATATTTTAGGCAGTTACGTTTTACTCTTGGAAGGGACGAGTTGAATTCTTTAATTCTATAAGGGAGTTAGGTTTTGCAGTTTAAAGAGAGTAGTTCGAATTCTTTAATTTATCCATTGATTTTATATAAATTTAGTTTTGTGAAAGTGTTGTTTATTTATATAGGTATGTCTTTTCTTTAATTAATTATAATAACTTAAAGTCACAAATATCATAATAAGTGGTTAATTAATTCATATTTAATTTAAACTATATTTTTTTATTTTAACTTATCTTTTCTTTGAAGAAGAAAAGAAACAAACTAAACTTTTTATATTTTGAGTTGCGGTTGGAAAAACTTAATAACGTACGTATTTATTATAATTATTATTTTATGTTTACTATTTTAAATATTTACCTTTTATTATTGTTTTATTGTAATGCAATGTATCATGTTATGACATATTTCTATTTAACTTTTACTTACTTTGTTTTGTACAGTTTACATTATTTTGTTTATTTGATAAATTGATTGATATTCTTTATTTAATAAGTTGAGACTTTGTTGTCAATCCTGAGCCATGTATGGTTGGTCCTAGGATGTAAAATACATTTACTTCGTTGTGTTTCGCGATCTTGCTATTTATTTAATTTTGTTAATCGATCTTTGGGGACCTACTAAGGGAGTAGACACCAAGGGCG